GATCCTAGCCTGGCTAACGTGTCGGCTTTTTCATTCCCTTCAATTCCACAGTGGCCAGGAACCCAATATAGGTTTACTTGGTTTTGACAGGCCAATTTCTGAAGTGACATTGCACATTACCATACGAGTTTTGAATTGCATGTTGCTGATTTTAAAGCATTTAATGCTGGTATGTCCCCTTACCAGGATTCACTCCTGTTGACACAATGTTCAGATCTTTAGTATATTACTTCATTTAATGTTTGTTTTAAGTGATTGTCCACGTTATCTAAAGCACTGTTAAAAATGATGTGTTAATGAAATAATACGACTACAATCAATTAGCGCCGCCGGGATGTTCTGAGGCATAACATCTCTGATCACGCCTTCCTTCGGATGGGAAGTAAAGCCGTTGGTCCCCGGTTCATGAGTTGATGGGTCTATAGGTAGGGTCCAGGTGTGGGAGCTGCCTTCCTGGCACGTCGGTAGCTTTGGTGCTCAGCACGGAAAACAAGATCGACGGAAAAAACAAACCAAAGGACTACAATCAATTGTTATTATTAATATCTTTAATATTTTAGATTTAGACCTAATTTAAAGTTTTCTTTTTAATGATATTTTAGATTTAAACCTTTTTTCACGCAGTCAAATGGAATAAAATCAACAAATATGTTTAATGACTGTTAGATCAATCGATGATTATTTTCGTTTCCAGTTTGGCATGATGCGGAGTAATCTATTAACTTATTAGACCCATGAAACCAGTCGTTGGGGATAATGAAACATTGAAGTTCATTTTTGACAAAACTGCTAATTTAGGACTGAACCAAAATAACCACATCAAAAACCAACAAAATTGCTATTTGGACTTTTTACTAACGAATATTTATGAAGATTTCTGTGTGACCGAATCATTAAATCCACTGTGGAAAAATGAAGCGTTTCACACAGCAATCGAATATTCTTTATTTATGCATGAAAACCAAAGACCCAACGACTGCGAATACGAAGAAGTCTTTGAATACAAATTAGCAGACTACGAAAAAATAAAATTTAAATTAAACAGTGTCAATTGGCAATTAATTTTAAGGAATGTAGGAAATGTCGAAATTGGTATAGACGTGTTCTACAAAATTTTAACAGAAATAATTTCGGAAGAAATACCTTTGTAGAAAAAAAGACGAAACAGAAACACACAAAATCCAGTCTGGTTTAACAGACAAATAAAAAACTTGAAAAATCGGAAGCAAAAAGCACATAAAATTTATAAAAAACACAATAGTAGTAATAATTTATTAATTTATTTGGATCTATGCGATCAACTGAATTTAGCTATCAGTACTGCATTTGAAGAATATAATGCAAAAACTGAACGTGAAATAAAGTCCTGTACGAAGAACTTCTTTAATTACGTAAAAACGAAATTAAAATCTGACAATTTTCCTTCAATAATGCATCTAGACGAAAATGTCGGTGATAGTTCGGAAAAAAACTGTAATCTATTCGCAAAATTTTTTGAAGAAATTTATACGACATTTTCTGAAGAAGATCGTGACCGCGATTATTTTGCATTTTATCCAGAATTTTCAAGGGACATTGGCCTCAATCAACTTCAAGTGCAGGACATTTTGCAGGCTTTAAAAAATTTAGATGCCTCAAAAGGTCCTGGACCTGACGGAATTCCTCCAGTATTTATTAAATGTCTAGCAATGGAACTCACTGCTCCATTGTTTTGGCTTTTTAATATGTCCCTGGAATCCGGAACCTTCCCTAAAATTTGGAAAAGCTCATTTCTAGTACCTATCTTTAAATCTGGTCGAAAATCTGACGTACGTAATTATCGTGGTATAGCCATTATCTCTTGCATTCCTAAGCTTTTCGAGTCAATTATCAACGAAAAATTATTTCTCCAAATCAAAAATAGAATTACTGACATGCAACACGGCTTTTTCAAGGGTCGTTCGACCTCGACCAACTTACTTGAATTTATAGACTATTCATTGAATGCAATGGATAATGGAAACCTCGTAGAAGCTCTCTATACAGACTTTAGCAAGGCATTTGACCGCATTGACATACCAATGTTACTCTTTAAACTGCAAAAAATTGGAATTAAGTCAGGGCTCCTGAAATGGATTGAATCATATTTAACTAACCGCCAACAAATAATTAAATTCAACGGAAAGAAATCGAGCCCAATTCAAGTCACTTCAGGCGTCCCCCAAGGCTCTCATTTGGGACCTCTCCTTTTTATTCTATACGTAAACGACATATCTTACATTCTCAAAAAACTTAAATTGCTTATTTATGCCGACGACATGAAGCTCTTTTTGGAAATAAGAAATGAAGAAGACATCAATATATTCCGGAATGAAATACACATATTCTACATATGGTGCAAAAAAAGTCTACTAGAATTGAATGTAAAAAAATGTAACTTAATATCATTTAGTAGAAAAAGAACAACTTCAAACATTTCACTTGCATTAGGAAATCAAACTGTAGACAAATGTGAAAGAGTTAGGGATTTAGGAATTATCTTAGACTCTAAGCTAGCTTTCATAGACCATTACAATGCAATTATTCACAGGGCAAATAACATGCTAGGCTTTATCAAGCGCTTTTGCTATAACTTTCAGAACCCTTACACAATTAAAACACTATATATTGCCTATGTGAGGTCAATACTGGAATATTGCAGTATTGTATGGTCTCCATTTTCAATCACGCACGAAGAAAGATTAGAATCAGTACAAAAACAATTTCTATTATACGCTCTTCGTAAATTAGGTTGGACTTCATTTCCTCTTCCATCATATGAAGCACGCTGCATGCTTATAAACATACAAACATTAAAAGAGCGTCGTGAATATGCAATGGTTTCATTTGTAAATGATATCGTTTCGCAGCGAATTGACTCAACAGAACTTTTATCAAAATTAAATATCCATGCACCCACTCGGCAACTCCGAAATCGAAATTTATTTGCCATAAAACATCATCGCACAAATTATGCAAAATATGGGCCATTAAACCGCATGATGGCCTCTTACAATAAACACTGCGAAACCATTGACTTCACAATGTCTCGGCATAAACTAAAGCAATATTTTTATTCCATAAGAAATCACAACTCATAAAAGAAAAGACAAGAAAGCTGACACTACTTTTTTTTATATAAATATATATTTAAGAAAACAAAACTGTATTAGTTGTACTAGTCTACGTTGGTTGACGAAATAAATAAAGAAAAAGAAACCACATAAAACTATTGGTTTCGCATGCTTGCTTAGTCAGGTCTGTTTTACACGTTTTATGCGCATTTTTTCGCTTAGTTTTACACTCTTCTTACAAAGAAGGGTATATATACCGTAAAGCATAGAAATCGAAACACTTTGTCCACACATTTAGGTTTATAAGTTGATGCCTACTATACTCAAAATGCCGCGTATATTGAATCATTCAGAATCATCGTACATATTTACATTTTACGCACATAGAATGATATTGAATATTTTTGAAATCGGTCTACTTTCCACTTCCCATGACTGCAACATGCAATGTTTGATTATCTTTGCTCTGTTCCTTGAACAGCACTACATAAATTTTACACCGCCAACCGAAAGCAGCAGCATGATACGGTTTATGGCCTGCCACAGTGCTGCTGGCCAGCCTAGCGCACAATTAACTTTCCTGAACTAATTTATTGCTGGGAACCACTGCGGGGAAAGAAGAATATTAAGAAGCTAAATTTACATTTTTAATGATAATTTTTAAAATCAACTTTACGGTGTAGCACGGCTGGCGAAGCTATACCGGCCATGCGGAGTGTGACACAGCTTTTCCTTCTTGCTGTAAGGAAAGCATTTTTCTCCTGTTCCGTTCCTTTTTCTGCCGTTACACTGTCTCTGAATTACTCTATCTGCCAGGGTTTTTTTTCTCGCGCCGCATGCACTGGCCGTCTCTGCAGCTTCGATGGTGAAATGTGGCGTGAAAATATTGCTAATTAGAAGCTTAATAGCAGCGGTGTCTGGGAGAAATTGTCCGTGTAAAATTTTACACTTTCCAAGGGTGGGTTATGTATATTTAACCTCGGTGGGATTGGAAGATTCTTTTGAGCATGCTATGTTGTTGTCATTTTCTATAATTATAGTTTATTGTACAATAACAGCATGTTGATTACCATTTTCAAATCCATAATGACATTGACATACACCTGAAAAACAATTATTTACCCTTAAGACACATAATCGCAGCAGCATTGGTCATAAACACCGTCAAAATTGCAATTCGGTTTCAGTTATTGTGATAAATTTCTATTTTCGCGTTTATCGAAAAATTGGGAATGTAAAACTTTCTTATAGTATAAATGATGAACATAATCTGTATGGATTCATGACACAAACAGATCATCTAATGTGGTTGATGGAAGGCTTTGAAATCAATCTAAGAAAATTTTATGGAGCAACTACTACCCTGGTAAACCATGAATCATAAAAGAAAGATATTTAGATTTTTTACGAAAAAACATGATTCTTTTCACTAGAGGCTGTTTTAAGTATCACCATTATGCCGCGGACACGCTTGGATGACAAACTTTTAGCATAACAAACATAACAAATTATAAGCACATACATGGTCACACTTGTATAGTTTGTGTATAGTTGTTGTAAAGCGCTCATAATTATTATAAAAAATAATGCTCATGCTCATAGTAGGTCACACCAGTGTATCCGCGGCATTATTTTCATGCTTATCGATTGCTTATGCCATTTTTTGTGTATTGTATTTTTTTTATAGCCTTCACATGATAGGTCTTTTATCGTGCAGAGGGTGAAACAGTGTTATTCCTTTTTATATTATTTTCGTTTACAGCCGGTCAACTAGTTGAAGAATTTAATAAAGCTTTTTTTCCCTTCGTTCGGCACATTCTCACTAGAGAGATGGATGCATTCTCTAAGAAAGTATTTATCCGTTCGTTCCACGATGAAAGACGGGTAATTAAAATTTATTATACTCACTCATCAGGATCCCTCCATTACGGCAAGCCTGAGCACTTTTCCCGACCAAGTGGCAGATTAAGATGACCGCCGCCAGGGTGCTGAGCGTGCTTCGACTCTTATCATTGTGTGATGCCATCTTTTTGCCTTTAATATTTTCCTTTTTTACTTTTTAATTGATGACTTGGAGAAACTTTTCTTCTGCTTTCCGCAGCTGTTGATGCCACTGTTTAGAATTTGCCTTTTCTTTTTTTTTCTTGTTTTGTTAGAGGGGTGTTGGGCGGCTAAGAAAAATTATACGATGATGGAAATGCTGTCAGCAGCCAGAGTCAATTATACCCAAAAGTTTTGAAAAATTTGGTATGCGTGATCTGAAAGTAAAAGCAACAAATGGAAATATGAGAATATGGTCCGAATTGGTAGAAAATGAATAATATTTATTTAATTAGTTTTCGATTTATTGTAAGAAAGATCTAAACTTGATGCTCACTGCTATGGAAACGTGATTTTTTTTCCACAAGACGCAAAAGATTCTCTAAAAACATTTAATCTTGCAATCAGGGCTGACAGTCAAGATTCATCACACTCCCGAAGAATAACATCATTGCACCGGATCGCAGGGACAGATTGACGGAAAAATGAATGATGATAAGCAGCATCGGTGTCGACAGCGACGGTGGCTCCTCATTCCATGCCTTACAGTAGAATATAATATATCCTTAGGGGCCACCAGAAGTCTGAAGATGCCTTTCAAAATTAACTGTCAACGACAGATAACGGACGACAAGTGAAAGTGAAAAATATGCCTCAGCAGTGCTTGACAGATTTTTTTCACTTATCTTGCCTTCGAGGTTTTTTTTTTCACTTCGCACTTTACAGCTGGTGTTTAATAATAATCGAAAGGAGCACTTTCTGGAATTGACGTGTTTCTCTATCTTACACCTTGGGAAGCAGTCCAATAATGTGATTGATTTTGGACGTAGCAGCAGGAATGTATTAGAAATTGAACGTAATGACGGCATATACCACATATTTGAACACATTTGTGATATATTCCAATCCAACAAACGACTCATCCGCGATCACCAAATTAACTAATGCTGCCCATATGGAGTGACGCATAAATCAAGGTTTACGCGATTCAAGAACCGATGATGAGGTCGTTCAACCTGCAGCTTCCGAAATGCAACCGAGAAAGCTTGATGGATGCTTCCAATCGCCCCGAACCCATTCCTGCATACCGCAACCTCCGTCTCGGGCCTGAGGTTGGAGATGCTTTTACAGCCAGATATCATTATTTCGATGTGTGATGAATTTCCCACAATCAGGTTATAACGAGCTGTTGGGATCATAATGAAGTGAATTCCGTGGCCACTACACTCTGGAGTTACTTCTCAACCGGGACGCATTGTTCATTAGTAACATCCCGGCCCTGAGCTTAGATGTGGGTTGGTAGTCTCCCAGCTTGATGTTTCAGGAAAGTACTAACACAATTTTAAACATTCGCTGCCTGATGTCGGTTATTTAGAATTTTAGCGTTCTGGATGCCACCGATTGAGAAACCTTTGAAACCCGGGACGCACCATAGAAAGCATTCTACAAGCTCCCTGTACCTCCACCATCCTTGTCGTGTGATCTTCATATTTGTTCCAAGCATGTGGTTGGATTTGGGCAGCGTAGCTGATGAGCATTTAAATAAAACCTGTATTAATACACCTATGGTGCGCTCTGACCCTTCTAACAAATAAACAATTGGATTTTTTTAAGTTCCTTAAACACTTTTGGGTCATTCGTGACTTGTCCGGGGGTGAGATTTGAATTCGTGACTTTGGCATGAGAGGTATGGATGTTAACCACTACGCCGGGGTCGCCCCTAAATATAATTGGATTTATCGCTTTATAAGATTTGGCTCAAATCAGACACACTCGGAAAATTTCCCGATGCGAAATGTACCATTAATTGGCTTTATCGTAGAGGATGTGTCAAATCAGCACTAGAGTACTAGCTAAATTAGGCTTCACTCGAGTTGTTCGCAGATGACAGACGTTTCAGTCCAGTGGTCCGAGTGTGGCCAATGCACATTGGGGCGAAAACATACGTAATTATAAAAAATCAGGTAGTTCTGATCTACTGTTTTACTTTCCATAATCTACATTAAATTCTGTTGGGAAATGCAAGTTTTCAGCCCAATTGATAGATAAATGCAGACAGAATTGTGATGGAGAAAAGACATCCTCCAAAATGTACCCAGACAAGTTGAACTTAATCATTGAGGGACTTTTGTCGGAGCATGACCAAATGACCTGGCCTACACCGTACAGCGAGGCAGAGGGTTTCAACGCGAATGCAAGTCTCCAATGAGGAACTCGTAGCAATGCGTGGTGAATGGATTGAAGCACCCGGTCCGGATAGAATCCCCAACGTGGCTTTGAAAACGGAGATCTAGGATTGTGTTACAGAAATAGGCACTTTCCAGGCCGATTGAAGATACAGAAACTAGTATTTGTAACCAATGGTTCCAAAATAGGGCTTGCAACTCCATCGCAAGTCAACTGTGGAACAGCTAAAAGGCCGCCAAAATACCACTATGCTATAATTGCTCATTTTCCATGCCATTCCAGTCTTCCATGGCACCACTCATTCTCGTCAGGTCGGTTGTCAGTCGTTTCTCCCAAGAGAAGGTCGTCCATAGATATGGCAAGGAGAGAGGCAATATTGCGGGTAGGAAAAATAAATAAATACGGCAAACTCGGGTTTTGTCGTGAATTCTTGTGGTCTTTCGAACCAATAAGCTTGGCGTTCTAGCAGGATTAGGCGAATTAGAGTCCTGACTGCACTACGGAGTAGCCACAGTGCGCGCCGTATTAAAGTTACCTTTAAATACGTGTGCATATCAAGTTAGGAGTGTTAATACAATTAGTCGTACTTAAAAAAGTAGCAAATTGTGGTTAGTAGTGTTATACCCCGTTCACATTACAGCCTATATCACGTAATATAGGCTGTCTTGCAATGAGCACGCATACATAGGATTTCCAGTGAAAACTAGATGTATGAGTGCTCATAGCAAGACAGCCTATATCACGTGATATACGCTGTAATGTGAACGGGGTATTAGTAAGTTAAAATGTGCTATTAGTAATTTGTTCCTATTGTCTGAACAAAATTAGAACAGGGTGTCTTTGTTGCACCACACTCATCGTTTTGCACAACGTAAAATCGAGTTCCGTAAGAAAAAGGTAAATCTTAGCTTTACGTATTGCTCAATTGTGAAACTTCGGTTGGGGTTGGTTATTATATATGTTTAATGCGGCAAATTTGGGCTTTTATTGTACTAACGGGACGGAATCATGTGGCAAGCGTTTCTAATGGCGCTGGCTAGTTTCACAAACGGCCTTTTTCTTTTATTCGATCGGCAGCTATTGTTCGGAAGAAGCGCCATTGTGTCCTGGTGGTATAAGAATAGGACGAGCACAATAAACCAGGCCATCTTGGAAGGTTCCACGTGTTGGCCAATCGTCAGCCTAGATCCCAGAGAACTGCGAACAGACCTAGCAGATGTGGAATCGGTAAACTAGGTCACCGGGAATTCGGACGGGAACTAGTTTACGTTACGTCTCCCGGATCGATACTTCAGTTCCAGAGACACCAACACCACCACCATCCGTATTGCCGCAGCCACCACCATCAAAATATAGTACCACCCCAAAACCCAAAACCGCAAGTAGAAAATGTGACGTCACACTTAAGGATAAGCTTCACTTTCGTTCGCGTTTTTACCGTCTCTCCGGACTCGAAAGAAGTCTCCATGCCTCCCTCCCTTAGTGGTTCGTTCTGAATAGATTTAATCCTGTGGCTTTTGAGCATTGTAACCATAAGATGATTACTTTTGATTATCTGTCTCGCTGCCCTGTTTATGGACGTGCTGTCTCATCGTGAGTTCCTACTGATGATCCATTGAGGAGCGAGAGTAGTGTACCGTTGTTTACCTTTTCCGACCCTGTAGATCCCAATATCCACTGAGCTGTCGAGGGGTTTACATATTACTGTCGATACCAAGAAAACTTCCGGATAATCCACAATCCTATAGGCCTATATGCTTGTTGGATATACTTAGAAACTACTGGAAAGGATTATCCTCAACAAGCTGACGAAATGTACGGAGAGAACGGGGGATGTAAAACTTGCTTATAATAAAGAAGGATTCTCCAACACAGGATATTAGTGGAGACCGCATGAACCGAGGATGAGATATGCCGATTGTGGTCCAATGCAAGAAAATTGAGTCCGAAAAATGTGGAGTGTAAGTTGAGTAAGTGATATGAATTATCTCGATTAAAAATAGAAAAAAGGTTGTCAATTGGACTCGGACCACGAACGTTGCGATTATCAGACCTGTGCCTTCTCCACTGTTCTCACCATGCTTCGGAACATGGATAGGCTAAAAGCGATAAGAAGCACTCATGGTACGATAACTCGAATTCGTATGCTGTTTATGCTAAACGGGAATTGGAGAAAATCGTCGTTCTACAATGTTATAAATAAAAAGCATGGCTAATGCTTGGATGTATAGGCGAAAGCGTAGACACAACACAAAATAGGATCTTCAGCGCACCTTAGTAAAGTATTGCTCTCTACAGACATTCTGGAAGTAGAAAAAAGTTAGCGTCTAATGTATCATTTAGTAGGTTTGTTATCGCATTTCCATGAAAATTATCGTGACAGTGCATACAATTCCACGCACTGATTTGAGCAATGTTTGAAATTCCGCTCATTAATACACCTAATTCCGCGCTTTTTTATTCATCTGGAGTCTAATCCATCCCAACAAACAATTTTAGCTGCAGATTAGCTTATACAGCCAAAATTTGCCTTATGCAGCTAATTTTTGCCTGTATAAGCTAAGCTGCAGCTAAAATTGTTTGTTGGGATATGCTGGTTTTCAGTTCGCTTGAAAGTCTTGTCTTGTGTGATACTATTTTTCATTATAAGGTTTTGAAAACGACCGATTCTGTAGTGTCAGTCAATCATAGAATGAAAACATGCAGCAGCTGTTTTATATAGATGCTTCATAGGCGGAAAACAACCCATGATAATATGAGCACATTATTAAACATTACTTGCTGCCTAAGCATGTATTTTTTGCAAACCAGTGTATCTGCTCGGACGCATGTGAAAACCGATCTCTCAAATCTACGAATCATGCAGGGTGTATGTAACAATCAAGATGTGATACCGACGAATCAATCAAGGTGTACGTGAGTAGCACACAAAGAAAAGGTGTATCATATTGTTTTATCAAAAGTCTTGTCCGTGTTGCAAAAACACAACATTTTTCATAATTCTCTTAAACGTCAACCTTTAATCCAATTA